AGCAGAAAAGCTTGCTAGGAAATACTATACACCTATTATTTAGGTAGGATATTGCAGGAGAGAATACCCTAGCATTAGATAGAAGTGACTTAAGCTTAATATATTGCTGGTATAAATCCTACTTGGTGTTAGAACAAGTTCACAACGTGTTCCTAACGCGTTCTATTATATACTAACTTTAAAAGATCTTTATAGACTATATTAACTAGTTATATCTAATAATATTAGGAAAGATAGATAGTAAAATAGTATTAAACTCTTAAATATAAAAAGTTCTTGTAGAGTGTAAGAAGAAAGAAGAAGAAAGAGAAGAAGAAAGAATATATATTTATCTGCTTATATATGCTTACGTGATAGACTAGAATATATTAAGAACTAGTTAGGAACTAGTTACTGCATTTATAGACTAACCCTGCCTTGTATAAAAAGTAGCTATCTCTTTCTTAAGTTTAAACTGTGCCTTTTGCAATTTAAATAGTGCCTTTTTCTGTATAAGTTCTTCCTTATCTACCTCTAGCTTTTCTTTTCTCTCCTTTAGAGCCTAATTACTAAGAAGAGCCTTTTATTATAAAGTTTGTAGTTGCAGACTAATAACAAGTTAGAAACGTGTTGTAAACGTGTTTCGCGAAGCATACCTTTAGGTTACTGTTAGTGGAGGAGAAGAGCCTAGTGGTAGAGAAGATAGAAAATGGGCTGGTGAACTTCTTTCTAATACCGCTCTACTACTTGCCCTCTAGCTTTAGGCTTTTAAGCGTGCTCTTTTATTTCTTATTAGGACTAAGATATATCTAGTTAAGTTAGATATAGCAAGACTTGCTTTATTATTATCTAGAGTGTTATTATTATTGCGGGACGCGTTCTAAACACGTTCTAAACACGTTTTAATTAGCAAATATATATAACGCTAGTGTAAGACTTACTTTCTCCCCTCTAAAGCTTTTTAAGGTACCTTTGCTTAAGCCTATTAGGAGTTCTATAGTTATAGCGTATTCTAAACTTGCTTTAGGCTTTAAACTCTTTTATATCCTGCAGATCTATCTAGTGTGCACTACACAATGTTACTTATATAATTCTAACAGGTTAAGAATAGGTTATAAACTTACTTCTAAGTGGCCTTAAGAATACTTACATGCTTACTAGTTTTATATCCTTTCTAGCCTGCTTGCTTAGCTGTATTTAAATAAGATTCTAGTTTTTCCTATACCTCTTTTAATATTTCACTACAGCATTGCACAATCCTAGTAGCAATTACTAGGTTTTTCTTATAGATTGCCTAGTTTTAGGCATCTTTAGAGGGTTCGTGTTCTAATTATGTGAGAACAAGTTAGGAACACGTTTAGAACAGGTTTAGAATATGTTTACTTACGTAAGAGGAGGTTAGCAAGCTAAAAGTATTCCTCTACTATTAATGCCTGTAGTAATTCACTTAGACGTAAAGAGGTAGTATTATCTAGCTCTCTTTTATATGCTTTATAAATACTTCTTTGTAGATATACTTAACAAAATCTTATACAAGATTAAAGTTACTAGCGCTAGTCACGCTTATAGGGATTAATTAACTAGAGATAGCGCCTAAGTCCTAGAAACAAGTTAGAAACACGTTATGAACATGTTATAGTGCGCCGTGAAACTTGCCTGTTATCTGCTTGTTGCACATGTTAATAGTAGTCCTATAGAATCCCTGTAAGTGAATATGCCTCTATAACACTTATCTTTTTGTAAGTGCTTTACACTTCTAAAAGAAGTTAGTAATAGTAACTTGATACATCTTAGTTATATCCTTATCTATAATAATTTAGCTAAGTGTAATAACTGCAACGTGTTAGAAACGTGTTACAAACCTATTCTTAATACGTACGCTTCTTTTCCTATAGGTGGAAGAAAAAAATTAGAATCTCTGCCTATGCCCTATACAACCTCTTATATAACATATCTATCTAGAACGTGTCTTAATCTAATAGAATTAATACCTGCTCTTTAAAAAGGTAAATAATTAAGTTACCTAAGCTTAATGTAAAGATTTACTGTATGTACGCCTGTAGTAACGTGTTAGCAACGTGTTCTAAACCTGTTCTCTTACACCACGTATAGTTTTAGGATCCTAATGCTTTGTCCTCTACTTATAGTGTACTCCTCTAAGGCTACTCTTAAATAGGAACTATAGAAGCTTTTCACGCTTTATAATACACGAGATTTTATCTTTATTTGCAAAGCTAATATACATTTCTTTAATAGAATAGAAACCTTTAAGTTAGAGATAGGTTTAGAGCTAGGTTAAGTTTAGGAACTAGGCTGTAACAAGTTAGGAACACGTTTGTAACAGGTTGCAAACAACTTACATTGTGTAAGCTGCAGAGTAAGCATAGGCCACAACACCTTTACTACTTCCTTAATATTACTATTAGATAGTGTTAAGGGAGGAGGAGGTATATATATATATATACTAAAAGAAATAATAGCAAAAAAAGGTATTACTACTATATCTATTAGTATAATTACTTAGAAGGTAACTTTACACAGGATTTTAAACAGAGATCCTTGCCCTTATGGATAATTAACGCCTAGAATATGTTAGGAACGTGTTAGGAATAGGTTGCAATATACCTACCACACTTCTTTATCTAGCTTAACTATGGCTTAACTACAGAATATAAAGCAGGACTACTAGAAAGATTTAATATCTCCCTAGTTAGAAGACCTTGTAGATATATAGAGTCTACCTCTAGTGGTACCTAACTAAAATAATGTTTTTTCCTAGTAGTAGATATTAGGCTATAGTTCTAACAGCTAATGTATAGTTAAGCCTGTTCTATAATTTGCTAACTTGTTATTAACATGTTTTAAACATATTTAAGTTTTGCTCCCTACCTAATTTACTATAGTCCTTATTATAGGATAACAAGACACCTAGTAGTCCTTACAAATCCTTAAAGAGAAGCGCTTAATAAGGCTATAATAATAGCTTCTTGTTTGTAGTTCTCTTTATAGAATTTTCTTAGGTACTGCACTTTTTAAGGTTTAGATCTAATTATATAATACGTTATTAACAACGTAATAAGAACACGTTTGTAACGTGTTCTTAAGATACTTACACGCTTTTACCCTAGAGCATTAGTATTTATACTAGCTTGCTAGCTGGCTATTAAAGAATAGTGAAGTTATAGGCCTATTAAGATAGACAGACTAGCAGGAGTATTGTACCTGCTAGAATTAGAACAATTTAAGAACGTGTTCTTAACGTGTTACCTATATAGCCTGCACAAGCACCTCTTCTCTTGTTAGGTAAGAGCTATCTTTATATTGCTAAACTAGTATTATATACCTATACCCTTAGCTGTGTAATTAAGGGTATACTAGGAGAATAGCTGCATGCTTAATAATTACTAGTGTAAGTGGTGGTCCTTAACTATTATTATAAGTAAGGTATACATTATGCCCCTATAACGTGTTACTAACCTATTCTAAACTTGTTCTATTTACTTTCACTTACTTCCTTAACGCTACTGCTACTATCCTCCTCTAGCACTTTATACGGTTGCCTAAATTTATCTCTAATATTACTATCTAGTTTAGATACGTTGTCTAGTACTGCTATACTAAACTCTAGTATAGTATTTAGGAACGCCTGCATATTATTAAGAATAGGTTTAGAACACGTTTAAAAAAGATAGTAATAAAAACTGCGTTTACTTGCTTAAATTACCCTAATTTATACTTAACTATAGGCTAGTTTATATAACTATAAAAATTTGCCGCTGTAACGTAGACTTGAACCTACAGGGATATTCTAACCACTCGGAGTAAAGCCCAAGTCGCCCGACGCTAAACCCATGGTCATATGACATGCCACCACGTGATCCGGTTGATATCCCTCCTGCAACACTAGCGCTTACTAGATGCCTAGGCTAGACTTAAACAAGGTTCATAGGTTAGCGCTAGGGTCTAGCACTATTATCTTAGGCTAAGCTTATCTAAGATATAGATATTATACCATACAAGGATTACTTAGCTTAAGTATTCTTGTGCGTACCTTTTAGACTATGGCCAATTAGTACAGGTAGGGGAGATAACGTAGTATTCATTTTATAGGTAGGGCGCCTACCTTGTTACACTTAATTAATTGTTTATTACTAAACCTTAGCTTAGCTTGCTTAAGTATATAGCTTGACAAGCCAGCTTGATATTAATTAAGCTAGCTTGATTGTTGCCATGTCTGAGGAGTACTTGCTGTGTGTCTGTTGTATGTGCCCCCCCTCCCCCCTCCCTCTACCCTCTCTTTATTTTCTTCCGATGTGGTACAGTACCAGCTAGTTAATGATTGAAGTTATGCATTCTCCACACGCTGTCTAGGGCACTAGCTAGGATTCACTCTCTTCTAGCTCCTAATGTGATGTGAGTACTGTGCGTTAATTAGCAAAGCACGGTCGAAGAATTCTAATAGATCTAGTAGGCTGTCTGTTTAAAATCTTTGGCATTCCTGAGATAGGTGCCTGCCTTGTTCCCTGCAAGTGCTGACTTTAGCTCTCCGTATTCAAAGTATATGATTAAAGTTTGCTTGTCGGAGTCGCGTCCGATCAGGGTACCCTCCACCGGTCACAAAGTGATGCAAGAGCAGCCGATAACTTGTCAAACTCCCCGTGGTACAGCCAGAGGAGTCAGGACCCTTTAAAAGCGGCCCTTCAGCCCTCTCCTATACAGATGTTAAACTCTCTCATTCTTTCTCGAGTCCACATTGAGAATTGCACAATCTGTCAATGCATATCTTTTTTTACCTTTCCACGCTACTCGTAGCAACACCGCTCGTTTCAGCAGCACCACCCCCTACAGCAAGGGGGAGTCCTCCGGACGCTAATCCATATACAAACTGTCAGCCCTGTCCATTTAGCATGTAGGTTGACAGCCCCGTTCCCAAGTAGCCAAGAGAGTCATTGGAGCTACCTAAGTACGACGAGTGCTTCACGCTAACCCTCTGCATAGCGGAAGATGTTACTTGGTGCAAAATGGCAAGACAACATGTCAAAAGGGCATTCATAGATACAACTACATCGTCGCCAATACACACTGTTGCCTCGAAGGATGGAGGAATGACTGCGCTAGTGCCTGTGTTGGGTAACGTTAGTGCCTGTGTTGGGTACGGTGGATAAGCACCGTCACATGTCCTAGCGCGCAATGATAACAGAGTGGAGGGTTTTTTTTTTCGTGCTGTCGCGATCAGGAACACGCGCATTGTTATTTCTATATCACCCATAGTGCTTCAGCTACCAATGGCGGTGGATGGTGGTGGGCAGTCACCACCTCGGTATGAGGTAAGCACTATGGGTGATATAGAAATAACAGTCCCCCGAATCCATAGTGACTATAAACATAAAGAGAAAACGAGAGAAAATCATGTCCCCTAGTATCCTAAGTGAATAAGATTATCCTTTGTTCGTGACATCTAATATTCTAGCGTGCAACTTCTCTAATATAGGCCTTAGGAGTGCCTTTATATATAAGTCTATAAGATTATTACTAGATTAAACGTGTTAGATATTAAAGTTACCTTGTAGGAATTGTTCTCTAACAAAGTAGTAATAAACGTAGATATACTTTAACTATAGGTTTAACTTCTAGTCTTAAATAAGTGCAGTAGCTAGTTTATTATTAATAAGTAGGCAGTATAATAGTGTAACTAGAAGTAATTCTATAATAGCGCGTTAAGCCTAGATAAGATATAATACTCTATATAAGGTAGCTATATATTCTACTTTATATATACTTTAAGCAATATAGCTTTATTACTTAGATAACTATAAGATAACTAAACTATTAACTTTAAGAATATACCTAGAGTGTGAAGGGCTTCGGCTTACGCCCAAGCCTAGGCCTAATACAGGATAGACAGAGTCTAAAACTACTACTAAGCAAACACGCTACACACCTATAAAAAGGCGCAGAGTACTTACCTCTCCTTTAAGATACTAAATACTATTATTAACGCTTATTATATTCTCCCTTAAGGCTAGTCTATAATATTTTAGTATCTTCTTCTAAATATACTATAATAGTAATAAGAGATAGACGCGCTAGATATTTAGAATAATTAGGTGCAACCTAATATAGTAGAAAGGCTAATATAGTAGGTCTATAGATTAATAGAATAATAGGCTTAAGACTCTACTATAATAGATATACTACGTTAATAGAATAAGGAAATACGTAATTAGATTCTATCCTAACCCTCCTCTAAGCCTGCTAGGTTTAATACTCTACTACCTCTACCCCCTTCTACCTTATATTATAAACCCTTCCTAGTTAGCTTGCTATATACTAGCACTAAGGCAAACTTCTCCTTCTAGCAAATAATATAGAGTTTAAACTGTATGCAGAGAAGGTCTTTATTAAGGATAAGGAGGCAAGGTTTATATATATTTAGTCCTAGTTATTACCTATAGTCTAGCGCGCTATAGTACTATACTTTAAGGATAGTATATATAAGTGTTAGGATATAAGTGTAATAACTTAGGTAGGTAGGGCATCCAAAAGGTATCCTATACGACTTAAAGGCATATGGGAGTGCGCGTCTATACAGAAAAGGATAAGATTCCTACACCTATAGGTCTTGTATAAAAGGACAAGAAGAATATACCTATCCTAACTATAGGTGAGCTGTTCTCTATATATATTAGTAAGTTAGGCCTTTATTAGGCCTAACTTGGTATAGAATAATAGGCAGGCAATTCTACCTTATTATTACACTACCCCCTCCTATAGAGAAAGGATAGTCCCTATCCTTAGGATTAGGTTTAGATCCTTTATTAAAGAAGAGCTTTTTGCAAAAAAATTCTACCTTTACCTCTACCTTTACCTTTACTTCTTCTTCCTAGGGCACGGACCCCTATCCCTAGCCTGCATATAACTAGCCCTCTACCTACTAACTTTCTTATTTCTATATCCCTAATTTTTTAATTATTTAACCTAATCTATCTAAAATCTAGTAAGTATTTAATCTATATAATTAAATAGTTACTAATCTAAATTAGAACCTTTAGCTATGCTAGTACTAGTACTACTAGGAGTCCTCCCTATTGCTTATCGCGCTCTCTATATAAGGGTAGTTAGGGCTCTAGCTAGCGGCAGGTTTAATAATTTTAATTTTAAGTTAAAGAATTCTAAGAAGTGCTAGTACTGTATCTCCTAGAATAAGTATTACAATCTAGTAAGTATCTAAGTCTAATAGGGTTCCTTTACTAATCCTAGTAGATTCCTTCTTTTATTAGCCTAGAGTACTCTGCCCTTAGGGGTGCTCTAGATAAGTATTATAGCCTAATAGCAAACCCTGCTAAAGGGGATAAGGATAAGGAAGCTATAGTTACCTATTAGAAGGATGTTAAGCAGTTTAAGGCTACTATTTAAGAAACTACCTAAAACCTTACTAAGTGCGTTACTATTACTAATACTTAGACTAAGGGTATAGAAGCTACTAAGATCCTTATAGCTATATATTATGCTACTATATCTAATTTACGTTAGCTTTAGAATAGTATCTATAAGATAGTCTTAGTAGTTAGGGGCCTAACAAGGGCTATTAACAAACTTAAGGAGGAATTAGCGCTAAATTAGGAGGCAACTTTTCTAGTATAGGCTAAGATAAAAGCGTTCTATAAGAAGGAGTCTAAATTAGTCCTAGCTCCCGCCCCTGCTCCCGCACTAGCTGCACTAGTTATCTAGAAGCTAGTTAAGAAAGGTAGTCTAGGCGCTATCTTAGCTAATATAGAGTCTAAACTAGGTTCTAATAGAGAGATAGACACAGAATAAAGAGGTTTCCTAGGGGTAGTGTCCTAGGAACCTTAAAGGTTCTATAACAGTTCTAAATAGGATATAATAATAAATAGTAATAAGAATAATAGTAATAGATAGTAGTTAATAGATAATATATAGCTAAATAGGATATAAATTAGTTCTAATATTAGGTATAATTATTATAAAGTAATATTAGATCCTCCTTGCCCTTTTCCTAGGCTTAAATCTATTTTAGTAAGCTATATAAGGGACCTAGCTAATTTAGATACTATTAGTAGAATACCTATAATTTATAGGGAGCACCTATAAAGTTAGAGGTAGGATACTAAATAAGATTAGGATTATATCTAACCTACTTAACCTTATATTTTAGCTTAGATTAATATAATTTACTAGCTAGGATTTCTTCTACCTCCTATTCCTCTACACCTTATATAGGCGTACTAGGGGGTTTTAGAGCCTCTTATCTAGGTAATAGGTCTTAGGGATCTTTATATAGTATATTAGAAGAGAAAACGTTATAGATCTTAGAACCTAGTAGCAATTAGAGGCAATACGCGTTTCCTACTTGTTCTAATACCTTAAAGGGACCTTCCTATTATTTAGATAGTTTTTAGCTAGGTTGTAAAATAGCAAGATTAGTAGTAGATAGATAAATATAGTTACTAACCTTCTAGTTAACTAGATAGTAATAGTAATTAGTAGTAGAGCGTATTTAGTCTTAAGCTCTTTCTATATTTTCTTTAGTAATCTTCTAGGCGTTGTGTATCTAAGTAGCAAGGGATAAGGCGTCCTTGTGGTTTAGTTTCTCTAGTATAGTAGATAGGGTCTTTTCTAGTTTCTAATACTAACTTTACTTTAGTAAGGAACTAAAGAGGAGCTAATATAGAGCTATACTAATAGATAAATATAGAAAAGTACTTTAGGCACAGTCTATTATAGGTAGTAGGTCGCTCTAGTTATCTTAGTAATAGGATACAAAAGGCCTTAGTCTCTAATTAATATACTTGTTTATAATCTTAGTTTATTTATTAGTCTGTTTATAGTAGGTAGTAGAGAGCTTAACTTTAGTGCCTATAATCTAGTAGAATTTAGACTAGAAACTAGATATAAACTAAGGGCTATAATTAGAAATAATAGTATCTAGAGTGTGTCTAAATTAGTATACCTACTAAACGAATAAGGTAGCTATACCTTAGGCGTCTATAGCTTTGTGGCAAGGGATAGTAATAGCTTGCTTTAATAGGCGATTAATAATAACTATAATCTAATTATAACCACGTTAATCCTAGGGAAAATCCTTAAAGTTAATGCATAGGTGCTGCATTAGTAGACTAGGGATAGGAAGGGGGTAGAGTATACTAGGGAGTTAGTGCTATCTTAGGTGCCCTCTCCTATATAGGATACAGTTCTAAACGTAGCGTTTATAGGTAGTCTCTATACCTTTCTAGTAGTAATATTAGGCTAGAATCTAATAGGTTTTAGTAGCTAATAGGTAGGTAGTAGACACTTAATTATAAGCCTTATAAATTAGTCTAGTATATAGGACTAATCTAGCAGGCACGCAAAGTTAATCCTAGTAGAGAAGGAGTCTGTTTTCTATCTAATAGTGCTTAGGCAACTCTAATCTTTCTATTAGGAATAAGGACCTATTTTCTTAGAGAAGAGTTTTAATAAGTTCTAGGGATCTAAGAGTTATAGGGTTCTAAACTGCTATAATTAAAGCAAGGATTAGTAAGGAACGCTTAGCTAGGTAGTCTTGCGCTAAGTTAGAGTTAATTTAGGGGTGTAACCTATCTAGGGCGATTATTACTTATAAGCAATTATCCCTTTAAGTAGTCTTAAGGTTAAATATATCCTATTCCCTTCTACTTAGGATATTAGCTTAGGCGTTGTAAGATCTAGGAGTATACTTAATTTAGAAGTTAAAGGGACTTATAACCTCTAGCTATCTAGCTTGCCTAGCACTAAGGACTTTAGTAGATATAAAGTACTCTAGTGCTCTATAGTCCGTGTATACTCTAATAAGGTGCTAAGTACTTATTAGGTTAGCACGCTATTTCTTAAAGGAGCAGATTATTATAAACAATTCTTTGTTATAGATTTCCTAATTAAGTTTAGAACTAGTAAGGGTCTAACTAAAGAAGGATATAGGGTACTATATACTATTTAGATGCTCCTATAAGAGGATAGCTATAATAACTCTATTAGAGGCGTCTATCTTAAGTTTTAGAGGGTACTTAGGATAGAAGTAAGCTAAGCTTAGGATTGCTAGCAGGGCATTCCTAAGCTAGTTAAAGGCTTGTTAGCATTCTAAAGTCTATACAAATAGGGTAGTAGGGCTCTAGAGAGCGGTTAAGGGCTTAGCTGTCTTAGAGAAATTTTCTATAAATTGCTAGTAGAATCTAGTAAATCCTAGGAAGGACTTTACTCTAGTTATTGTCTTAGGAGCAGACTAGTTTTAGAGTACTTTAACTTTGTTAGGATCTACCTCTAAGCCTTTATTAGTAAGGATATATCTAAGGTAATAGGTATAGATTATATAGAATTTG